GAGATTGGTCAGAGGCTGCCTTGTGTGTTGGTCCATCTATTCGCATTCGCTAGTGCTTCGTATTGTTTTATTACTGATGTGTATGTTTTATTTGTTTTGGTATTTAGGCCTAGTATCGATACGGCTTGTTGGTCTAGTGGAAGAGGGGTGGTGGGTGCTTGTTTGCTTGCTAAGTTGTAAGGAGTAATGTAGTATTCTATTGGGTCAGAGATAGAATTGTAGAGATTAGGTTAGTGTATTTCAAAAGAACAACTGGTTGTAGACAGCATGCTGTTGGGTTTTGGCTCAGAAATTCTCTGTGCCTATTTCATGAAAGCAAATCTGCTATGGTGTTTGCTTTTCCAGCAATATGCTCTAGCTTGATTGAGAAATTTCTGTGTATTTGTGCCTGGTATATTTGTGTGATGATGTTATTAATCTTAGCCTATTTGCAAAAACTATTATATACTGCGTCAGCATTGGCCTAGTTGTTTGTCCAGATAATAAAGCGCTTTTGGGTCCATATAGGTGCAAATATAAGGATAGCAATGAGTATTGTTAGAAGCTTCCATTTCTGAATACTATATTGGGGCAGATCTAGACCCTGGGACTAGTTAAATATTATGAAATATGACTGAAATGTGGCACCTCCTCTCAGGTTTGAGGCGTCAGTAAATAGATTTTGTGTTGTTGGACTTAGCCACATCTGGTTTTCCATCAAATATGTACCTGGAAGTATGGTAATCCACTATCTAATATCTGATTTCATAGAAGCGCTAATTTTTATATGATGTTTTGATCTATGTACTTTGTTAAGGGCTTGATGAGCTGCTATATAAATAGTCAACTCTGTGGAATGATCTGGCAGACCCACATTAATAAGCTGATTAGAGACTGGAGATCTTTTTTAAGACACTACTGCTTGTTTAACTATTGATTTAATGTGTTAATCAGTTTTAGTTTTTTGGCTGGTTTGATTATAGCTGTAAAGGTTTGTATGTTTAGCTGTATACCAAGAAATTTGAGTGTAGTGGTAGGCCTTTCTAGCTTAGATGGTTTGTAAGAGATGTTTATACATCCCAATATTGATCAAAATACTTACTAAATACTTAACAAATATTTAATAAATACTTAAATTATGCTTATTTAATATAAGGTATATTGGGATGCAATTAGAAATACTTGTTTAAAATATTTATAAAATACTTAAAAATTAAATATTTAATTAATAGATAGAATTTATCTGTACTACTAGAACTAGTACAATATACTAGTTCTAGTATAGTATTAAATTAAAATTATTTGTTAAGTTTTAAAGTTAGGCTATACAAATTTAATAAATTAGTTCTTATAATCTAGCTGGGTCAAATTTTACAAAATTTTTTAAAAAAATTTTTGATTATATTTACTATTTGGGTAAAGTTTTTTTTAGAAGTTTATAAAAGTTTTTATATACTTTTTATATATAAAAATTTTTTGAAAATAAAATTAAAAGCCAGG